ATCTTATGAAAAAATTTCATGAAATTATTTCATATAATACTTTTTTTGATGAAGTTGTTTCATATATGGTTATGAAATTGTTTCATATAATACTTAATGAAATTTTAATGAAACTGTTTCATGTATTTCTCTAAAATTAAAATAATTAAGATGATAATATCCATGATTAACACCCTCCACAATAAAAATGATTAATCAACCTCTCATAATTACAAAAAAAATGAACAAAATGAAAAATTATGATTGGTTGAATGAGGTTTATATGGTTTGTACAAATAACAGTGGTTTGTAAAATAAACCTCCTATATATATATATATAGTTTGTCATATTTAGATTTTGTAAAAGAGTTGTATTGTGTTCACAACTTTTGTTAAATATCATTTAAGATGACTTACAAAAATATTAAGAAATATACAACATCCTTTTTTTTTAAATTTAGAAAAAGTATTTCAAGATTTGAAAAAAGTAATATTCAATTTATTGTTAGCTTCTTTTGACAGAACTGATATCCAATGCAGTTTTAATATCCAGTAATCACTCGTCAAAGACTCCCTAGTAACAAAATGAGTGTATATTTTGTTTGTTTATAAAATATGAACCGCATAATCCATCAATTTAAAAATACTCAAAAGAGAAAATGGAAAATAATTTTAGAAATTAGGATAATTATCATTTTGAATTGGATAAATCCTTAAAAATTTCATTATATCTTTTAGATTTATTTAATTTTTAATTTTAATTAATTCATAACTTTTTTATCAAGTTTTGTATAATTTTATTCAAGATACATTTTTGATAATAAAAAAAATTCACAAATTTTCATCAAATATCACATATGATATCCACAATCAATTTATCATTATTTTCACTATTTTTTTCCTCTAGTTTTTGTATTCACGTTTTGAATCACATGCGATTAGCTTCGTTTAACATATGATCTATTATGTATCACATATGAAACATGTGACTTTCTGTACATATCACATATGATAATATACGTCTGAATATAAGTGACGTATTATCACATGTGATAATATTTACATCGCAAAAAGATCTATAAATATGTTATGTGATTAACGAAAAATCCAAAACTATCACATATGAATTGATTGTGGATATCAAATATGATATTTGATTAAATTGTGAATTTTTTTATCAAAATTGTATCTAGAAAAAAAATTATATAAAACTTGATCAAAAAATTATGAGTTAATCAAAATTAAAAAATAAATAAATATAGAAATATATAATGAGATTTTAAGTATTTATTCAATTCAATATGATTATTATCCAAATTTCCAAAATTATCTTTCATTTTCCATTTTTGGTATTTTTTTTAACTGGTAGGTAATGTGACTTATATTCCTTCTCACCTTCTAGCAAATTGATCCCCTTCTCATTTGAACTTGCCTCTATATATCAGCATTAGTGTTGATCTTCAAACAATTTATCCAATGATCCAATGATAGAGATCTTTTTTTACGCTTTTCACCATAGTTTTCATTCTCACTAGAATCCAGCTCTTAATGTATTTATTGTTTTTATACTTATCCTAATATATACTTAATTTACATATGCCATTTAATTATCAACCAAAATATAATTTTAAAGTTAAAGTCAGTGTAAATGGTGTATATAAAAAGAAAGAGACAGTCGAAAAAGTGCAGTCGTGCAAGAAAAATGTTCCTTTGATAAGATTTCTAATGACATAACGCTAACCAAGCTTTCATCAGTATCAAATAACCATGTCTTAATAGTTTTTATATAAAATATACAAAATACGTAGGTTGAGTTTCAAACGTGAATGATATCATTTTACGATAATACAAGAAACATCTTTAAATTTGAAAGAAGAGAGACAAAATATAACAGAGTTTATATGAATGGTTACAAGAGAGTGTGTCGAAGTTGCAGGTTTAAACTACATGTACTTCCCCATGCCCAGTTCACTTCATGACTACACCAACACTCATTGCACATTCTGCATCCTGAATTTGCACATCAAGAATCCCCACAATTTGTTAACATATACTTCTAGTTACACTGTGCATGAAGAATAGCATACATATCCATTGCTTTGAATATGAGGTAGCCAATGCACACAATGATGATCAAATAAACATTGATTATCTTCAAACACAAAAACAGTTATGATTTTTCTTATAAAATCTAATCATGTATAAACCGGTTCGGGTTGTCCACTTTGATATCGTTTGGATTTGTATGATTATAAAGATTTAGTTATCAATACTGAATTAAAGATAATTATAAATTTTTATTAAATATAATTAGGATAATTATGAATTTTTTTAATATAATTAAGGTAAGTCATGTGATATTTTATAGGGGATAATTATGAAAATATAATGTGTAATTATTGATTGACTATATCATCCTTTTAACAATTAATTTATTTATCTTTGACAAATGCATTTAATGAAAAGAGATTAGTGGTTAATATTGGATCTCAAAATTTTCATAAATTAGAGAGTTCTCTCATGAAATAATATACGTAGGGTTTAATCATTTGAGTACACATGAAATTATGATAATATTGAGAATTTGTGCATCATGTGTTACTTCATATGATTTTTTTCTATCTAGGCATAGTATTTAATATATTTATTAAGATATGTGAAACTTAGTTCTTCATTTTTTTTCCGGTTTTCCTTTGAATCTGACCTTATATACATATAGGTCTATTCAAGGGAGAACTAATTAGTTTGTGATAACTGTTAGATCCAATCTCAACCACAAATTAATAGATAAATTAGGAAATAGATATTTTTGATAATTGGATTTAAAATTATAATTAAAGAGCATTTTAGGTATCTTAAAAAAAATTATCTCTCTCCTACCTCCGGCCTCCAACGAACATCATGTGAGATACCCAAAATACATCAAGATACATAATATGATACCTAAAATACATGCAATGTAATACCCAAAACACACCAAGTAAAACTTTGAGACCACTATGATACCAACTATGGTATCATTGCGATACCAATTGTGGTCCCCTGTCACAGGTGGGTGTTTAGTGGTCGATCATCGGATACGACGTCTTGGCCAGACAAGATGACTGGAGGAGGTCATCGGAGTGGTGGTGGGTGTCGGAGAAGGTCACCTACCACAAACTATTTAGTTCTCATATATATATATATATATATATGTATATATATATATGTATATATATATATGTATGTATATATATATGTATGTATATGTGTGTGTGTGTGGGCATGTTCATTTGTAAACTCAAATTATTGTGTTAACTTTATGAACTAATCATGACCATTGATTTTTAAAATATATTGTTGAGATTAATCATATTATAAATTTAATTTACCCTTATAATCTTACAAAAATATGTGAACATAGTAGCTCAGGGGTATTTTTATAAAAAAATGAGGTGCAATCAATATCATCGGTTACAAACAGTAGAAATCGTATATTTTCAATTGTGTTCATAATTGCCACAAKTGTTCATATATGTTCAATTTGTRTTCGTAATTGYCACAARTGTTCATACATGTTCAATTTKTGTTCACAATTGCCACAARTGTTCACATATATGTTCAATTTGTGTYCATAAATGYCACAAGTGTTCATATATGTCAATTTGTGTTAATATGAGTGTGTACATGTCAATTTGTGTCATATATTTCAATTTGTATTCATAATTACCAAGACACTCACTTTGATTATTTACTTCATTCCCGATCTCGAACTTCAACTGTCACCATACACAATTTTAACATTCTCAATGTTGTCGTGTTGTTTTCCAATGTCTTTATCCATAATTGYTTGAACGATAACAAACTCTTTACTARCGGATCTCCTCCACCAATCACAAATTTATAAATATTAGAAATAAAAGATCAATTAGAAAATGAAAAAAATCACAAGATCAATATTAAAAATGCAAAAATTATGAGATTTTATGGATCTTGTAACTCTCAATTAATGATATAGGAGTTAAAAAAAAAATACTCATATACCCTTAACATTAAATTCTTAGATAGAGTACAACCTAATACTAAGATGTATTATAATTGGTTAAAAAAATTTATAAAGTTAACACAATAATTTAAGTTAACATTTGAACTAAGCTATAATATATATATATATATATATATAAAATAAAAGCAAACTAGAAAAATTTATGGATAAAAGTAAATGATACAAATATATTGTAAGATGTGTTGAATTGTAAACAAATAATATTATAATAAACTTTTATAAGAACAAATATGTTTATGTAATAAATAAGAAAGTGTAGTCGACTGATGCAATAGGTGATGGCAGAGAACATGAAGAATATGAATGGGATGGGATAAATACCGCATCAAATCAAATTTCATATTTATTTAACATCCACATCACCACAAAAACGAAGGAAAAGGAAAGTTACAAAAATTATAACAATGGTCACAATTTCAGATTATATTTTAGATAAATATGTAGTACATGAATATTGTGCACCAAGCTTTTTTCCTTGTCTCATTTATATTTACGAATACGTGGCATAGTTGGTTCTGAGTTGGTATACACAGATCGAGCCTAGCATAAGCATATTTGGCTCCTTGACACTCGCTTTTTAAGCTAGCCACCTAATGAGCCATTGTGTATCTGATTTGTCTCTCACATGATGTTCTTGGTAGCCGGTTAGAAACCCTGTTGCACATAAAACTCATACAAACGGAATAAGTTTGACACATAACAGGGTCTGTTAAGGGTAAGATATATGCAAGATTTCCTCCACCCTAAAAAGTAGAKAAACTATTTTCGTGAACACCCCGGCTTTATTGACAAGATACGAGTAGGATTTGAAAAGTGAAAAGAATCTCATTCTCAAATTAATTTATGAAACGTTTTAGTTAAAAGGAATATGGCATAATCGTCTTGTATGCCAAAAGGCCTTTATAAGCTATCAAAGGTCTCTTCCTAATCTGTTTCAAACTACGAGCTCCTCCTCCTCCTCCTCCTCCTCCTCCTCCTCCTCCTCCCACCAGCATCACTACACCACCACCACCAGCAGGAGGCAGAGGCCAAGGCGGTTTGTTGGGATGGCGAGGAACGAGTGGATAAATGGGTACTTGGAGGCGATACTGGATGTAGGAGCAAATCTCAAGACCCAAAAAGGGGTTGATACAAAGATGAAGCTAGAAAAGCTTCAAGATAACGTTAAGCGTGATAAGCACTTCAGTCCTACCAATTACTTTGTCGAAGAAGTTGTTAATAGCGTCGATGAATCTGACCTCCACCGAACCTGGATCAAGGTCTAGTCTCTCACTCTCTCTATAAATTATGCTTTTTTGGATGGCCTTACAAGCTTTTCATATTTTACTATATCAACTTGAATGTTTATTATGAAAATTATATGCAATGAATGCGTATAGTTTTTACAAGACCAAACCAAACCAAACCAAACGAACACGGTAAGTCCCATCCGGAGGTGGAGTAAGATAAAAGCAGACCGGAAATAAGTATGTTATTTGTGTTGAAACCATATTATATAATTTGGAACATAATTTTGCAAATAGTCGTTGTTACTAACCTTTGAAAATGTAAAATGGAGAGATGCAGGTGATTGCAACAAGGAACACTCTTGAAAGAAGCAATAGGCTTGAGAATATGTGCTGGCGAATTTGGCATCTTACCCGTAAAAAGAAGCAGGTTCAATTCCTCCCCCTACCTTCAAAAACAATAAAAGTAATTGTTATTTTCATCCAAGCTTAATAAAAAAAATACAATATTTTCTTTTTACTAACGGGCCGTTTTACCATATGTTTATCGGGTAAGCACTTACTGGGTCACTTACCTTACTAAGCGAGCATCAAGAATTTTACCCGGTAAGAGGCATGGTAGCAACCGAGGTTCTCTACCGAGTAAAAGCCGCTTACCAACAATCCATTTTGATGTCCAAGAATGTTATCTGATAAAATACAAGAGGGTGGTSACTCTTCCGGGTAAGCTGGCGTTTGGTAGACGGTCCTTAGGTTTTTAGTCAAAATTCTATTGGTGTATACAAATTTATTAGATGTAATATCAATCAATAATCCAACATTTTTTATCCTATGTGTCAAAGTTAAAAGTTGCATTATTTGGAAACTAAAGAAGCAACTTTTATCTTAGACATAAGTATTTTGACTATCTTACCACCGTCTAAAAACCAGATTAAACGAACACAATATATCTCACATAGAGGTAGGGCCTGAGGGTAGGATGTAAGCAAACATTGTCTTTCATAATTACCACGGTCTAAAGCRCCTATCGATAAAATAAGAAATCCTGAAAATCAAAATCATGAATTTAAGAAGTACCAAAGTAGCAAACTAAAAAACATCAGTTTCTTGGAACAAAAGAATCTAGGAAAAACTTCCTGCAAAAACCATGTTTATAGGTCCTAAAATGAAACATAAAACTTGCAGATAGCATTAGATGATGCACAAAGACTAGCAAACCATCGTCTCGAACGGGAGAAAGGTCGCCATGATGCCGCAGAAGATCTTTCAGAGCTCTCAGAAGGCGAAAAAGAAAAGGGCGAAACCCAGCCAGTTAACAAGATTTCAAGAATAAACTCCGAGATGCAAATATGGTCAGACGAGAATAAATCTAGGCAACTTTACATCGTCCTCATCAGGTAGCTTAAAATTTCAAATCCTACACTAATATATACCGTTAAAATAATCGATGTTTTCCATTTTTCAGTAAGAGATGGTCCTCATTGAACTCTTTTCTTTTCCTTCAAACTTTATGATACCTTTTTACTGAAAATCTTAGGTCAAACTTTTTCTTAGTTCTTACATAYATTTTTTGGAATAAATTATTAAACCCAAAACTAGWAATAAATGACAACTTGATGCCCCTTTAGGCTTTGATGCCCTGTGCGGCCGCACGGGCTGCACGTGGCCAGGGCCGGCCCTGTTTCTTACATACATTTTTTGGAATGCCAAGGGACTTCACAAAAATAGTCGCTCTACTCTTTGGAGTATAGGTCAGGTCTGCATTCATCCCAACCCCAGCGATATATGTTGGGTTAGTTTGGTATAGTACATTGAGAGATGGTGTATCATGCCCAATATCTGTTGACGTGCATGTAGCATCCATGGGTTGGTGCGAGGCGAAAACATGGAACTCGGGCGAGATTCTGACACTGGTGGACAGGTGAAATATGTGGTGGAACTTGCAAAAGCATTGGCTGACATGGAAGGAGTCATACGGGTTGATCTACTAACTCGACAAATAGCATGCATAGACATTGACTATGGTTATGGTGAGCCCATTGAGATGCTTTCGTGTCCACCTGAAGGTTCGGGTAATTGTGGGGCCTACATCGTTCGTATCCCATGCGGACCCCGCGACAAGTACTTCTCTCCACACACCCTAACTTTTCCCATTTTCATAGTAGATGCATCATGAATACCCACTTAGCCTTTAAACTTGTCTCAGGTACATATTCAAAGAGTCACTATGGCCTTACATCCCAGAATTTGTCGATGGCGCTCTAAGCCACGTTGTAAACATGGCCAGAGCTTTAGGAGAGCAGTTTGATGGTGGGAAGCCAATATGGCCGTATGTGATTCATGGCCACTATGCAGACGCGGGTGAAGTTGCAGCACGTTTGTCTAGCTCYCTGAATGTGCCTATGGTTCTTACTGGGCATTCACTCGGAAGGAACAAATTTGAACAGTTATTGAAACAAGGAAGACTTTCTAAAGAGGACATTAATTCGACCTACAAGATAATGAGGAGGATTGAAGGTGAAGAGTTGGCACTGGATGCTGCTGAAATGGTGGTGACTAGCACAAAGCAAGAGATTGAAGAGCAATGGGGTTTGTATGACGGTTTTGATGTTAAGTTGGAGAGGAAGCTCAGGGTTAGGAGGCGGAGAGGAGTCAGCTGTCTTGGACGATACATGCCTAGGATGGTGGTAAAGACACAATCTTTTAAACACCCGACTCAACTCTACTTGTTTATCTGCCTCTCTCTTTCGCACACTTTTCACAAGCCGAGGGTCTTCAAGTAAACGACCACTCTACTATTTGGTGTAAACACGTAAATCATCCCCCCAGACTCCACCTCCTTGTGGGATATATTGTGCCCGTTTGGTTTGGTTTGGTTTCCTCAACTCTACTTATCCTAAATGTTGATCTAGCCTAACATTTCTCGTTCTTGAAAAATTAGGTAATACCACCAGGTATGGACTTCAGCTATGTCAAGACCGAAGATTCAACAGAAGGGGATCTTGCATCGATAATTGGCGACAGAGCTCAAAACAAAAGGGCGGTACCTCCCATATGGTCTGAGGTTAGATATCTGAATATCCCTTTCCATCCGCAATAACAATGATCAAGTTTTTCATTTCTAATCCAACTTTCTTGCCTGATGTAGATCATGAGGTTTTTCACAAATCCACACAAACCCATGATTTTAGCATTGTCTCGACCGGATCCTAAGAAAAATGTCACCACCTTGCTCAAAGCTTTTGGAGAATGTCAACCCCTTCGAAGATTAGCCAACTTGGTATGACTTATCTCACTGTCTTCCCTTGAAGAATTAGATATTAATGTGYACAAAAAGATGATATATGTTTGTAAAATTGTTAACTGCAGACGCTTATACTTGGGAACAGGGATGACATAGAAGATATGCCAAGCAGCAGCTCAGCTGTTCTTACCACAGTCCTAAAGCTCATTGACATGTATGATTTATATGGTCAGGTAGCATATCCAAAGCATCATAAGCAAGTCGAAGTACCTGAGATATATCGCCTAGCTACAAAAACTAAGGTAACAATCGGTGTAAAGCACAATTCTAATATAAGCACCAAACTTTTGCATTGAAATCTGGCCCCTCGTTTATGATTATACGAATGACACGCCACATTACAATATCTAACGAAATGACCATATCAACACCTGGCATACTTGATACTCCTTCCATCTGAAGAAAATTGCAATGTATCGTGTTTTTGGGGATATTTAAGCTAAAATGACATATTTGCTTACAAGCATCATTGCATGTTATTGATGCTACTCATCTTSGCCCACAGGATTTCTTCTTTGTCACTGTTGAAGGGTACTTAAGACATTTGACTAATAGGCAAACACTTATATTAGACTATATCAAACGCTGCAATTTTCAGGGAAGGAGGGAGCATGTGATCCTTGTTGATGATGATAGTGTATTTATATATATACAGAGATAGAGAGGGAGAGAGAGAGTTGGTTCCATGAGAATTGCCATTTTTTTGTAAGAAATATGAGAAATGTAACCTTCACATAATATATGTGAAAGTACCCTTATATATAGTACACATGTATTTAGGGCACACAATCTACACAACCTTCACAAAACATATGTAACCTTCACGTAATATAATGGTACCTTCACCACTTGTCACGCTTCTCACAAGAAATCTTTTTTTCTCACATTATTCTAAGTCAATGCCAATATTAACACAATTTCTATCTTGAACTTGAAGGGTGTTTTTATCAACCCAGCTCTGGTGGAACCATTCGGCCTGACTATCATAGAGGTAAACTAACTAACTAATTGCACAATGTAAACTAACTAGATATGGACTATTTCCAGAAGGCAGAAATGACTGCCAGTACTTGAAACTATGAAATGTCTCCCTRATGCTTCATGTCACTTACAGGCATCAGCATATGGTTTGCCAGTTGTTGCTACGAAGAATGGTGGGCCTGTAGATATACTTAAGGTACAACTCTAAATACCCTCAAAATGTCATTCGTCAATGCTCTTGAAACATACGTGCATACATATCATGTCTATCCAAAAATCAGTAAAATTGAACAACCCAATCAAGGGCTACATATGAATACGCTCCTAACTGCTTGAAATAGAAAATGCATGGCACTAAGTAATGGAACTCATGATATGTATTTATAACCTCCAAAAGCTCGTAAACATATCTAACAAGTCCGTCATGAATCAGGCACTAAATAATGGCCTTCTAGTGGATCCACATGACCAAAAAGCCATCGAAGAGGCTCTCTTGAAGCTTGTTTCCGACAAAAACYTATGGGCTGAGTGCCGTAAGCATGGTCTAAAGAATATCCACCGTTTCTCTTGGCCAGAACACTGCCGCAATTACCTCTCTCATCTTGAGCATTGTAGAAATCGGCATCCTATTACCCGTCAGAAGATCATACCTACTTATGAAGAACCAATGAGTGAGTCATTACGGGGTGTTGAAGACCTTTCTTTGAGATTCTCTGTCGATGGTGACTTTAAGTCTAATGGAGACATAGATCCAACCACCAGGCAGAAAGAACTTGTAGAGACCTTCACCAAAATGTCTGCCTCTAATAAGAAATCAAACACTAACTACAGTCCAGGAAGAAGGCAGTCACTATACATAATAGCCACCGACTCTTATGATACCAACGGAGATTCCACAGAGACATTGTCAATAATAATCAAGAACGTGATGGAAAGTGTGATTGCAAAGCCCGGGCAGATAGGCTTTATATTGCTGACAGGCTTAAGTTTCCAGGAGACGAGGGAAGCATTGAAACGATGCCAAGTCGATGTASACAATTTTGATGCACTGATTTGTAGTAGTGGAAGTGAACTGTACTACCCATGGAGGGATCTATTGGCTGATGAAGACTACGACAACCACACTGAGTACAGGTGGCCACAAGAAAATGTGAGATCAACAATAATGAGGATTGCTAGGTTAGAACATGAGGATGATGACAACATGGCGGAACAAATGAAGACATCGAGCTCCCGCTGTTACACATACATAATCAAACCAGGAGCCAAGGTAGTATACCATTATATGAGCTAAGGCAACAAAAGTAAGTGATTAATACTTACAATCATATATATGTGTATTTTAGACACGCAGGGTGGATGATCTGCGCCAGAGGCTGCGGATGAGAGGTTTCCGTTGCAACACTGTCTTCACACACGCTGCAAAAAGGTTAAATGTGATACCATTATTCGCATCAAGAGCCCAAGCATTAAGGTCTGCACTTATTTCATTGTATTAATTGGTTGCTTAGTTTGCTTATAAATAACAAGAGCAAAGTCCAATTGTATTAGACCAATGTAGTTACAGACTATTTTAACGCATGTATGCAGGTATCTATCAATTATGTGGGGCATGGATCTGGCCAAAATGTTTGTGTTTGTGGGAGAAAGAGGGGATACGGACTACGAAGACCTCCTTGTTGGCCTCCACAAGACTGTTATTCTGAAAGGCGCGGTGGAACATGGAAGTGAGAAGCTTCTTCGTAGCGAAGAAAGCTTTAAGAAGGAAGACATGGTCCCTCCAGAAAACTCTAACATAGTCATTTCAACAGGATTTGAAGTCCATGATATCACTGCAGCTTTGGAGACTCTTGGGAGCAATTGACTTCTTTATAACTATATTTTTCTACATTATGTCCAATTCCTGTATAGGAAGGACATGTGCATACCTCATAGGTAAAGATATGTAGCATTTGAAAATATAAATTTGCAAATAAATAAATAAAAATAATATACATAATTATACCATGTTGATAAAATCACTAACCAAAGGAAAGGTAATTYCATGTTCCATTTTTTGGAAAATTTAGTTCCGTAACAGTACCATATGCAACTATATGCTTTCATCAATGTAGGCATCGTGGGCATCGTGGGCATCGTCAAGAATTCGTAGTTGGACATGGCATGAAATCTATCTTGGGAGMTAACCAACATACTATCACTATCTCGAATGTTGTGTGGTATCTTTAATAATACCGTACGTTAAGCAACATGAAATATTTTATCCACTAAATGATAGTGGAGTATGAGATATTTCTCTCTTCAATAATTAATAAAGATAGATTGATGATTCAGTTGACATGCATGCTAACATGGTAATTCAAATTATCCACCCTCTGTTATTCTGTAAGCTATTTCTGAGCGAAGGTGTTCAATTTAGACAATTTCAGTGGCCCCAAGGTAACCTTATTCTTGGGGTGAAGATCAGGTGACCAGGTGATCCACGCTACGAACAAGATTATGGCTTCATCAGCATGTACACATTAAGCACTCCCATGGAGATACAATACGCACTAGTGAATGGCTTTCAACTTACATTGGGGCGATAACTTTCACGCATGCCAAATGATCATAGCACTTGCAGAWAACCATATCAAAATCACAGTTGTTACAATGTCTCTTTGGCGTCTCGCCTTTGACCAATTGACATGAGGTCCCATCACCATCGATCCTTGTAATAATCAGCGACGCCGTGTCCAATTTAGGTCGACAAGGCGGCCTTAACGGCGTCGCCATAGTCGCAAATTTARCCTAATACATATAATCAAAAGGATATATAACACAAATCCCAAATTGAAAGCCAGATTGATGCCCTAACTAATCGTGATCAGTTAAGAGGAATTAGAAGATGAATACATACTGGAGACGACTTAGAGAGGTAAATGTCGGATCCCCGACAGTCATTGCCGGAATAACGTCTCCACTCTTATCTCGCCGATCAAGTAACCCTAGTCCAAGTACGCCGTAAGCCCGTAACAGCATCTCCGCCAAAAAAAAAAAAAAATATGAATGAGCTATACAATATAGACATTACCTACAGGCAAGCTTGGAAGACAAAATTTCATGCAGTGGATTTGCTCAAGGGTACCCTGGAGTATTAGTTTACTTTTAGGGTTTGGAAAAACCAAACCAAACCAAACCAAACCAAAGTACAACCCAACTAAATCCAATTCGTGTGGATTGGACGAGTTAGTTGGGATGGTCGGATTTATACTTTGGTATATTAAAATATTCTTCTAATCTTGAATATGTTATTTATTTACTCATAATTTATTTTCATCATCAACCATTTGATACAATTTATTCATATTTCTTACGTATATCACATTCAGTTAATTTTCTCAATTTACATATATATGTTCATAGAAAYTGAATGAGTTATATAGAGATATGATTAGATCGAATATGTGTATATGAAAAGCATACATGATAGTGTAATTGTCTAATGTATATATTAATAGAAATTCAACAATCATATTAAATTCAAGAAATAAAAGGATATCGGATTCATTGGGTTGGGTTGGGTTTAAATAATAGTAACCCAATATCAACTCAATACCTACGGTTTGACAATTTTACAACTCGATTAGATATCGGGTTGGTTTATTTCATGTTGGGTTGGATTGGGTTGATCGGGTTGATCGGTTTTTTGAACATCCCTACTTCCTGTGTACTTTTTCAATTTAGAGTGTCTGAAGTTGGGTACCATGACGAGGRTAATGACAGAAAATGCAATGCTTTCAAATGTGTTTTCGTCGCCCTTGGTTATGTGGCATGCATAATTTTTAGGATTTTATACTATAGTTATTCTATCTCCATCCCCTCCAACATTCTTTCCCTCATTTTTTTATGCCCCTCTTATATGGAACCGTRCGTTGCGCGGTAGTATGAGTACTTTGATTAATGATCTGAAGATGGTTTATATAAATATAAATATTAGTTTGTTAATAAAACCATCAACAAATAGTATTCAAATAATTCAAAAAAGTTAAATAAAATATAATTAATGAAATTTTAATATATATATATATATATATATATATATATTGAGAGAGATTTTACTTTTATATAAATATAATCTAATTAATTTTGCACTATAATTTCTACCATTTGGTTTGTTTGGTTTTCAACCATGGTTATAGATTTCAAAAAGGATCATCCAATGAAAGACAACCCTATGAGGCAAACCCCATTATTTGACACAAAGGCATCCAATCCACCTTTCTTATACATTTCATCTTATTCAAATCTTTCAACTCTTCACCAATGTGGGATATCTCAAAATCAACCACAATTCACCAACACCTCAATACTTAATCCTCATGATGTCACCTCAATACTCTTGGTTCTTCCTTTAATATATAATAATATAATATAATTAATTTTACACTATAATTTCTACCATTTGGTTTGTTTGGTTTGCAACCATGGTTATAGATTTCAAAAAGGATTATCCAATGAAAGATAAACCCCATTATTTGACACAAAGACATCAAATCCACATTTCTTATACACTTCATCTTATTCAAATCTTTCAACTCTTCACCAATGTG